TTATCTCTTAATCCTTGGGGTCAGACTATTCGNATATGGTTCATATATATCTGTTCGTTCATGAGAAGAATTGAATAAACCGATATAGCCGAATTAGGTTGGTGTTAGCACCCCCATTTGTATAATCTGAATCCTCACTGAGTGAGAATGTTTCCAATCAAAAATGGTAATCATTTATGCTGAAAAGTTCTAGAGGAGAAGTTGTTAAAAGCAAAATAGCAAAATTGCCCATTTTTGGCGCCACCCGTAAGCCTCTCAGGAAATCAACCCAGTTGAATCCTAATCTTCCTGGATGACTCCAGTCAAATTTAGTGAAATTTCATTAAACACTTCTAAAGGACATTTTTAAAGAAATTGTTGACTGACAACGGACAGAAAACAGCAGATTGACAAGCAACAGACACACCTCAGTCCTTAAGACCAGGTTTACTCAAAAACGATTGTAAGGCTTCATTCACCGTCATCAAATTAAATGATTGTTTTAATAATGTCATAACAATCAAAGTCCATCCCCAATTGTTCACTTACTTCCAGAAACAGTAACCTGTGTGGAATCACTTCCAGTTCCAGCAGAATTAGTAGCAAAGCAGGTGTATGTTCCAGTGTCTGTGATAGAAGCTGTGATGATGGTCAGAGATGGAGAGCCTGTGGTAGCTCCAGAGAAATTAACATCATCAATGCTGATTGATGAGGTTTGACCATTGATGGTACGCTGCCAGGAGACATTTGTGACTGCTGTAGTTGATGATACAGAACATGAAATGCTGAAGGTAGTTCCTTCAGTGGTGGCATAGGCGGTTTGGGGTATATTTACGGACGGGATAGCTGTGATAAAAGAAAATATGCGTGATTATATGATACCAACAAATTGGATGTCAGTTAATTTTTAAATTACAGCCTCTTCCATGTATCTTGTTTTTCTTAACAGCTTTTGCTTTGTTCAAGCTATAAATCATCAAAACACAGTATCAGTCAAATAAAAGCATGCGTTAAAAGAACCACCATGTGCGCGATTGTACAACAGAAAGAAATCTGACATCAAAATACATGTACAAATTAAAGGCAGTGGATACATTTTGATCTTCAAAACATCTCAAGGGAAGACATCGACAAGTCTCAATTCTGAAAATAACTAACAGGGCTCACCCTGTACCTAAAACAAGAGGTCCATGGGCCTTAACGGTCACCTGAGTTATGTAAAAACTGATGTTATCGATGTTGCCAAATGAAAAAGAAATCATTTTGTAACAACGTTAACTTGAACTACATGTAATGCAAAAGTAGTGTGAGAGATCTGGGAAGAATATGTAATATGTACAAATAGTGGTTCTGTCAGTTAGCTGACAGGACATGTCCCTTTAGCTCAGTGGTAGAGCGTTGGCCTCCGGAACCTGGGGTCGTTGGTTCGATCTCAGCTGGGGCACCTCATCTTTCCACCTTTTTCTATCCTATTACAGTAGAGGGAGCTGTTGGATTTCTTTGGGGTTTATTTGAGTAAGGTTACTGGCTAAAAAGAAAACAGCTGTCCTACCTAATATATTGATTCAACAATGACGAGTTTTTGTGTATTGTAATTTGCCATTTGGAAGCTTTGCATCTTTTTATACTGAACATAAATTACATACAACTAAATGGTAAAAAAAAATAAAAAATTGTGAGTTGACTACATCATCTGAATTTAACACCAGTTGATATGAGAAAGATATTTGTTTTGAGCTTTTTGTGATAAAAAGGTCACATATTTTGTTAATTATGTTAAAATTAACATGATAAACAACCAACATACAAAGTGCTGTTTAAAAGTACGATCAGGCCTTTGGCAAAGTTATTAATAATATAACACTATGGATGTGTACGCCATTATTTTTAATCTTTTCCAGTTTATTCTTCTTGAAATAATTAATTTGCTTTTGTGCATGTGTCAGACATTGCTTGTTCAGGGATAGTGCTTAAGTCAATGAAGCCATATCTGAGTCTGGATAAGAATTTCAAGATGGCCAAAGCCCAAACTGTCATAGTATCAAACTGTCATTTCGAAGTTATAATGTCTATCAAGTTTCAATGAATTCCAATTGGAAATGAACCAAATACATTGTATACCCAAAAGTATAATTTTCCTATATAACTTCAGTAAACTTTACCCCATCCCCAGGGTATAAGGTGCTTTATCTAATATGTAGATTATTTGTTTTCAGCATATCTTGGTCTGGATAAGATTTTTTTATATAAACCAAGTTGACCCCTTTTAGAACCGCCCCTCAGCTTGGGGGGCGGGCCCGGGCCTAAATTGCAAAAGTATCAAACCATCGTTTCATTCTTATAATGGCTGTCAAGTTTGAATATTTTCCAATTGAAAATGAACCAAACATACCCAAAAGTATCATTTTCCTATATAAAGTATAGTAAACTTCGCCTCCTCCCCAGGGGAAAACATGGAGTCTGGGGGTCATGAAATTCACAATTTTGATAATAAAGCACATCAAGACCTTTCCATATATGACGAGTATTGGTTTCCAGCCTATCTCAGTCTGGAGAAAATGACTGTTGAAATCTCTGGCTATATGACCCAATTGGGGCTCAGCCCCTCAGCCCCTCAGCCCCTGGGGGTAAGACAGGGTTAAAGATGTCAAAGTAGCAAACTGTAATCTCATGGTTATAATGTAAATCAAGTTTGAATGATTTCCAGGAAAAAATGAACAAAAGTTTCCCAAAAGTTGGATTTTCCTACATAAACTATAGTAAATTTCAACCCCTCCCCAAGGGCAAACGTGAAGCTCGAGGGTAATGAAATTCACAATTTTGATAAAGTACCTCAAGACCATTCTTTCACCTATGAAGAGTAATCGTTTCCAGCATACATTTGTATCTAGGTCTGGAGAAGATGATTTTTAACATTAAAGCCAATATGACCACTTTTAGCCCTGCCCCTCAGAGCCCCAGTGGATAGGAAACGTATAATTCACACTTTTAGTGCAAATTTGACCACGGAAGGTTCCTGCAAAATGTTTTTGAAATCGGATCAGCGGCTTCTGAGAAGAAGTTGAAAATATAAATTAGCGTATCCGAGACTTATAAGAAGAGGACTGTAGAAGGTTCAGTCTATATACTTTATTTTATCCCTGTTGACCCTGCTCCTCATTCTCTTGGGGTAGGTCAGGGTCTTAATATTCAAAGTGTCAAACTGTCAATAGTGTTATAATTGCAGTTGAAAATCAACAAAATGAACCCAAAAGTACTGTTTTCCTATATAAACTATAGTAATTAATTTCACCCCTCCCGTGGAGGAACAGGAAGCCATGGGATAACGTAATCCATACTTTTGATAAACCACACGAAGACCCTTTTATCTATGGAGAGTATGTATTTCTACCCTATCTGGGAACGGAGAAGAAGACTTTTTGAAATTTCAGCCAATTTGACAAATATAATTTCGCCCATCAGCCCCTGGGAGTCAGCAGGGATCAATTACTATATGTACATACCATCAAGTTGCCATCCAGTACCGATAATTCTAACCTAGTTCAAATTGTTTCTAATGGCAATTAAACAAATGACACTCAAAAAATGTTATTTCCCTATGTAAACTATAGTAAAGTTTACCCCCTTCCAAGAGGGAAACATGAGACCCTAGGGTCATGAAATTCACACTTTTGGTAAAGCATCATAAGACCCTTGCATCTATGAAGAATATTTGATTCTACCATATCTGGGTCTTGAGTAGAAGATTTGTGAAATTTCAGTCAATTTGACCCCTTTTGGCCCCGCCCCTCAGCCCCTGGAGGTCAATCAGGGCCAATCTGTGCAAACCATCAAACTGCTATCCGATGCTGATAATGCTAACTAAGTTTGAATTAATTCCAATGGAAATTAAACAAATGTTGGTCCAAAATGTGATTTCCCTATATAAACTATAGTAAAGTTTATCCCCTCCCCAGGGGGAAACTTTAGACCCCAGGGTCGTGAAATTCACAATTGTTGTTAAGCACCATAAGACCCTTCAGCCAATGAAGAGTATTTGATTCTACCATATCTGGATCTTGAGATGAAGATTTTTGAAATTTTAGTCAATTTGACCCTTTTTGGCCCCGCTCCTCATGATCAGGCCCCGGGGAGCTGGGGACCATATGATTCACAATTTGGTTGACCTTTGGCCATGGAAGATTTCTGCAAAATTTCATTGAAATTGGTTCAGGGGTTTTGGAGAAGAAGTTGAAAATGTAAATTGTTTACGGACGCATGACGACGGACACAAGGCGATCGCAATAGGTCACCAGGTAATCTAAAACAGTAGCCAAAAATGTAGCCAAGTGTGAATTTCAATAGCCATCTTTTTAAACAGTCGCCATACTTACTTAGCCTCCAAAGGATAATATTGTGTTGTAGACAATGTTGATTCGATTGATTTGTAAGAAGTTGTTGTTGGTGACAACCCTGGTTCAGTTGATGTGTCAAAGAAGGCCTGTATTTGCGAATTTGTTGAATCAATTAATGTTGTCACAAATATCCACTAGATTAGTAATGTTGTTGAATTGATCCTGTTTCGGCTGATTTGCTCAAAGGAGGGGTTGTCTGTAATGTGGGTTCAACCGATACTGAGTGAAATGTCAATGGTGTTTGGGAAGTAGTTAATCCGTTGTCATTTTGTGGCGTTGTTAATTCATTTGATGTTTTGTATAATGACGACGTTTGCGGTTCCCTCGACGTGTAAGATGGCTTTGTTGTTTGTGATGAAAACATTTCAGTTGTGACAAGTGCCTGTGTAGTAACAGTTCATTTGTCACAAGTGCTTGTGTTGCTTGTAAGGTCAACGGTGTTGTTATTACAAGTGATTGCGTTGTTTGTAATGTCAACAGTTTAGTTATTCCAGTGCCTGTGTGATTTGTAGTTTCAACGGTTCAGTTGTTAAAAGTGGTTGTGTTGTTTTTGATGTCAAGGGTTCAGTTGTGACACGTGCCTGTGTTGTTTGTGAGGTCAACGGTTCTGTTGTTACAAGCGCCTATGTTTTTTTGTGAAGACAACGGTTCAGTTGTTACAAGTGCCTGTGTTGTTTGTAATGACAACGGTTCAGTTGTGACAAGTGCTTGTGTTGTTTGTAATGAAAACGGGTCATTTGTGCCAAACGCCATTGCCGTTGATTCAATAGATTTGTAAGACGTTTTCGATTGTAGTGTTCCTGTGTAAGATAAAATGTTAAGTAGCGGTGTCGTTTTTTGGGATCTTGTTGCTTTTTCGTCAGATGGTGTCCTTGTTAATTCATTTGATGTTTTGTAAAATGACGACTTTTGCGGTTCCCTCGATGTGTAAAATGGCTTTGTTGTTTGTGATGACAACGTTTCAGTTGTGACAAGTGATTGTGTTGTTTGTGATGACAACGTTTCAGTTGTGACAAGTGATTGTGTTGTTTGTAATGTCAACAGTTTAGTTATTTCCAGTGCCTGTGTGATTTGCAATTTCATCAGTTCAGTTGTTAAAAGTGGCTTTGATGTCAAGTGTTCAGTTGTGACATGTTCTTGTATTGTTTGTGGGGTCAACTGTTCAGTTGTTACAAGAGCCTGTGGTTTTTTTTTGAAGACAACGGTTCAGTTGTAGCAAGTGCCTGTGTTTTTTGCGATGAAAACGGTTTCGTTGTAATAAATGCCTGTGTTGTTTGTGATGTCAACAGTTTAGTTGTGACAAGTGCCTGTGTTGTTTGTGATGACAACGGTTTAGTTGTGACAAATGCCTGTGTTGTTTGTGATGTCAACAGTTTAGTTGTGACAAATGTCTGTGTTGTTTGAAGTGTCAACGGTTTAGTTGTGACAAATGTCTGTGTTGTTTGTAATGTCAACGGTTCAGTTGTGACAAGTGCTTGTGTTGTTTGTAATGACAACTTGTATTGACAACAGTTCAGTTGTGACAAGTGCTTGTGTTGTTTGTAATGGCAACGGGTCATTTGTGCCAAACGCCATTGTCGTTGATTCAATAGATTTGTTAGACGTTTTCGATTGTAGTGTTCCTGTGTAAGATAATTTGTAAAGTGGCGGCGTCGTGTTCTGGAATCTTGTTGCTTTTCCGTCAGTTGGTGTCGTTGTTAAATCGATTGATGTGTCTGATTCAGATGTTAATAATTTTTGGGGTGATGATATTCTGTCGAAAGATGGTGCTGTTTGCAGTTTAGTTGAAACATTCGATGTTGTGCCAAATGTTGGTGTTGTTTGAAATGATTGTTTGGTTGATATGTCGAATGAAGGTGTTATTTGCGATGATAATAGATCAACTGGTATTGAGTCAAATGAAAGCGGTGTTTCCGACGTTGTTAATGCTTTGTCGAGAGCCAGAGTTGTTTGCAATGTTCCATATTCAGAAGATCTTAAGTCAAACGACTGTGTTGTTGGTTTGTTGATTTGTGAGACGTTGTTTGTACTGTTCCTGATTCCGAAGATGTTAAGTCAAACGACTGTGTTGTTGGTTTGGTTGATTTGTGAGGCGTTCTTTGTACTGTTCCTGATTCAGTAGATGTTAAGTCAAACGACTGTGTTGTTGGTTTGGTTGATTTGTGAGATGTTGTTTGCTATGTTCCTGATTCAGAAGATGTTAAGTCAAACGACTGTGTTGTTGGTTTGGTTGATTTCTGAGACGTTGTTTGTACTGTTCCTGATTCAGAAGATGTTAAGTCAAACGACTGGGTTGTTGGTTTGGTTGATTTGTGAGACGTTGTTTGTAATGTTCCTGATTCAGAAGATGTTAAGTCAAACGACTGTGTAGTTGGTTTGGTTGATTTGTGAGACGTTGTTTGTAATGTTCCTGATTCAGAAGATGTTAAGTCAAACGACTGGGTTGTTGGTTTGGTTGATTTGTGAGACGTTGTTTGTAATGTTCCTGATTCAGAAGATGTTAAGTCAAACGACTGGGTTGTTGGTTTGGTTGATTTGTGAGACGTTGTTTGTACTGTTCCTGATTCCGAAGATGTTAAGTCAAGCGACTGTGTTGTTGGTTTGGTTGATTTGTGAGACGTTGTTTGCAATGTTCCTGATTCAGAAGATCTTAAGTCAAACGACTGTGTTGTTGGTTTGTTGATTTGTGAGACGTTGTTTGTAATGTTCCTGATTCAGAAGATGTTAAGTCAAACGACTGTGTTGTTAGTTTGGTTGATTTGTGAGGCGTTCTTTGTACTGTTCCTGATTCAGTAAATGTTAAGTCAAACGACTGTGTTGTTGGTTTGGTTGATTTGTGAGTCGTTGTTTGCAATGTTTCTGATTCAGAAGATGTTAGGTTTGGTTGATCTGTAAGACGCTGTTTGTACTGTTCCTAATTCAGAAGATCTTAAGTCAAACGACTGTGTTGTTGGTTTGGTTGATTTGTGAACGTTGTTTGCAATGTTCCTGATTCAGAAGATCTTAAGTCAAACGACTGTGTTGTTGGTTTGGTTGATTTCTGAGACGTTGTTTGTACTGTTCCTGATTCAGAAGATCTTAAGTCAAACGACTGTGGTGTTGGTTTGTTGATTTGTGAGACGTTGTTTGCAATGTTCCTGATTCAGAAGATCTTAAGTTAAACGACTGTGTTGTTGGTTTGGTTGATTTGTGAGACGTTGTTTACAATGTTCCTGATTCAGAAGATCTTAAGTCAAACGACTGTGGTGTTGGTTTGTTGATTTGTGAACGTTGTTTGCAATATTCCTGATTCAGAAGATCTTAAGTCAAACGACTGTGTTGTTGGTTTGGTTGATTTCTAAGACGTTGTTTGTACTGTTCCTGATTCAGAAGATCTTAAGTCAAACGACTGTGGTGTTGGTTTGTTGATTTGTGAGACGTTGTTTGCAATGTTCCTGATTCAGAAGATCTTAAGTTAAACGACTGTGTTGTTGGTTTGGTTGATTTGTGAGACGTTGTTTACAATGTTCCTGATTCAGAAGATCTTAAGTCAAACGACTGTGGTGTTGGTTTGTTGATTTGTGAACGTTGTTTGCAATATTCCTGATTCAGAAGATCTTAAGTCAAACGACTGTGTTGTTGGTTTGGTTGATTTGTGAGACGTTGTTTACAATGTTCCTGATTCTGAAGATGATAAGTCAAACGACTGTGCTGTTGGTTTGTTGATTTTTGAGACGTTGTTTGCAATTTTCCTGATTCAGAAGATGTTAGGTTTGGTTGATCTGTAAGACGCTGTTTGTACTGTTCCTAATTCAGAAGATCTTAAGTTAACCGACTGTGTTGTTGGTTTGGTTGATTTGTGAACGTTGTTTGCAAGATTCCTGATTCAGAAGATCTTAAGTTAAACGACTGCGTTGTTGGTTTGTCGATTTGTGAGACGTTGTTTACAATGTTCCTGATTCTGAAGATGATAAGTCAAACGACTGTGTTGTTGGTTTGTTGATTTGTGAGACGTTGCTTGCAATATTCCTGATTCAGAAGATGTTAAGTCAAACGACTGTGTTGTTGGTTTGTTGATTTGTGAGACGTTGTTTGCAATGTTCCACATTCAGATAATGGTTTGTCGAATGGAGTTGTTATATGAACTATTGGTACAGTCGACGTTGAGTGAAACCTTGGTGTTGATGTAAGAGCCGCTGTTGTATGTAGTGGTCCAAATTCAATTGATTTCTCAAATGGCGTTGTTGTTTGCAATTTCATTTCACAGTTGTTCGAAATGATGTGGGTTCGGTAGATATGTCGAATGGTGATGTTGTTAATTCGAATGATGTTGAGTCACATGAAAGCGGTGTTGGGAGTGTATAAACCTGAGTTGTTTGCAATGTTCCTGGTTCAGATACTGTTAGTAATGTTGTTTGATAATTTGATGCATACAATGTTTCTGTTGTTTGCGATGTTGATGTTATTTCGGTTGATGGTATGTACAATGTCTTCGCTGTTGATTTGATCAATGCTGTGTTGGTTGAAAGTGTTGTTTGTAATGTTGTTGATATAACTGATGTTGAGTCAAATGGTGGCATAGTTTTGGAAGTAATTGATGTTTTATCAAACGGTTTTGTTGTTTTTAATGCTATTGGCTCAATTGATGTAGAGGCAAATGCTGGTGGCGTTGTATGCGATGTTATTGATTCAGTAGATGCTGTGACAATTGCCGTTGCTTTTCGAAATGTGGGTTCGAATGATGCTTTAAACGGCGGTGTTGTTAGGGAGGGTGTTAATTCAATTAGTGTTGAGTCAAATTGTGATGGTACTTGAGATGTTAGTGATGAAATGTCAAATGATTCGGTTGATTTATCAGATAGTGTATGCAATGCTCCTGATTCAGATGCTGTGTCAAATAATGTTGTTGTTCGTGATTTTATTGAATCAATTGACGTTGTGTCAAATGACGTTGTTTGGAATTTTATTGTTTCTTTCAATGTGTGAAATTGCGATTTTTCTTGCGACGTTGATGATGTTATGACTAATGTCGTTTCAGGTTGCAGTGATGTATTGAAAATTATTGATTCGGATGATGCTTTATTATATGTGGGAGTTGTTCAGGATTTTTTTGGTTTAATCCATGATAGGTTTGATGGATTATTTTATTTTGTCTTGAATTGTGGTATTATTTTCAAAATTGTTGATTCAGTTGAGCCTTTATGAAATGTCGACTTTGTTGATGCGATTGGTGTTGTGTAAAATACCGTTGTTGTTTCGGATTTCCTTGATTCAAATAATACTGTGTCAAATGACGGTGTAAGTGATTCGATTGATTGGTCAAATGACTGATTTGTTTGTAATGTTGCTTGTACAGCCGATATATTGTCAAACGGTAGTTTTGTTGAATATCTTGTGTGAAACGTTGTTGTTGCTGTAATTTTCAATGCTGTTGGTTCGGCCGATGTGTCAATGGCTGCCACTGTGTTAGAATTAGATATGTTAGTATGTGGTGCCGTTTTATATAACGGTGCTGCTACGCTAGTTAGTAAGTAAGTTGCCACTTCGCTAACTACAAAGCTTGGTGTCGATGGTGTACCAGCTTCTATTGTGCTCGACGATGAGAAGGTCGTCTGCTCGGTTGAGGAAGACGGGGTAAACGTGGTAGACGCTGACGTCAGCAACGTTTGTGGTGCGCCACACAAAATCAACGAAACCAGGAGGAGATACCCCCTCAATGGCAGGGTACGTATTCTAGCACCTCTAATCCCTGCCATTTAACGGACTGCCAGCTA